GCAGAGCTGCAGAGTGTCTGTGCTGACAGTGCTGAGCAGAGGCCTCGTGTTTCTCTGAACTCTCCTGACCTGCAGCGTGGAATCAGCAGGCAGCTCTGGGGATGGTGTAGGTGTTCCCTTCCGTGTGGAAGTCAGAGGCTCTTCAGGACTGCAGTTCAAGTGTGAGGGCAGAGAGGGCGGCCRTGGCTGCAGCTCTTACTCGGGCAGGTAATAGAAGCAGATGGAGACACAGATGTTGCTCGGGAAGCAAATRTCGATGCACAGGTAGATGAGGCGCTGCCTCCCCGGCCCTGCCAGTGAGCAAGGACAGAGCAGTGAGAGCTGTGCTCTGGTTCTGCAGCTGTGAGTCCCCGGGGAGCCAAGAGAGGGGRAAGCCTCGGGGAATGACCTTTTTTATTAAAGCTGGAGTGAGACAGAGCAGGCTGACAGCTCAGCAGGCTGCTTTGGCTGAGGATGAAGGTAACAGGGATTAACCAGCGGTGTCTCAGGGGACAGCTCTGTGCTGGCTGTGCTGTGCTGCCAGGGCACGGGCTCAGAGCCCATCCCAGGGCCACGGCTCAGGACAAGGGATGGGTACAGGGGGTGGCCAGCGCTCGGGGATGGTCTGATTTTGCACTAGAGGTCACCTGTCCCTGTCCTGGGCCTTGGCAGCCTGTCCTGTGATGCATCAGCTGTTGCACAGCAGAGCCTGATCCTCTTAGAGGTGCTAGAAAAGCTCTKGCTTCCACTGCCAAGGGGAGTGTCYCACTTACCCTGCCCTCTGCGCACCCAGAAGATGGATGTGTGCTCACACAGGGTCTGCACAGCCTCTCCCAGGCCCCTGGGGTCCACCTGCTCCCCCGCCACAATGCCCAGGAACTCYCGGTAGAACTTGGTCTGGTTGTTGTGATGTAGCAGCTGCTGAGCCTGAAAGAAACATCCCTGTTAGATCCTCCCAAGGCACTTTGGCCTCTGGCCCCACAGCCCTGCTCTGGCTCCCAGGGCATCCCTGGCAGGTTTCTCCTGCCAGCAGCCCTGTCCCAGCTCCCAGGTGAGCCTGCCAGGTCTTGTTTTCTGTTTGTGGGCTGATGGCAGCCGTAGCACCATCCACTTTATTTCCATTTAGGACCCTCAGGGCTGGGCAGGTGCTTTCTCCTTGCATTCCCTTTGGGAGCCTGTGTTCCTACATTCCTCTTGGAGTAAGGTGAGGACTAAGAAGCCCCCGGGAGCCCCTGAGGAAATGGAGACCAGATGGCAGGGGCACAAAAAAAATGGGGCTTTCTGTCTTCTGGAAATGGAATCTGCCCCTRCCCAGGCATCCGCTGACATTTTGTTTGGAGGGTCTGTATATATGATTTCCTCCAGCTTTCTTTGCTGTGAATTGGTAACAAACCCCCTTTGTTTTTCCTTGCCCAGGTTTTTGAGCAGGTAACAGAATCCAGTGGGAGCAGGTCGGATGGGAGCCCTGCTATTCACCTCCATRGGCCACATCCCCCTGCCCCAGCCTGCAGCTCTGCTTCCCACAGGAATCAGGGTATGGAGAAACCTGGGAATGGCTGCTCAGAGCTGGCTCAGAGCCCAGCCTGGGGCACAGYTCTGCTCCTGTGCCCCCTGAACACTGAATTCCTCAGAACAGGGGTTGCCACTGCTCCCCCAGCTGGGAGAGCCCCCACTCTGGATCCTCTGGGGTGGAGTCACCCCTGCCAATCCACACAGAGGAGAATGTTTAGTGACCCCGTGCAGAGCTCAATCCATCCCCCACCCCYGGATGTGCCAGGAATGCTGCAGCAGCTGCTCACGCTGTGCTCAGAGGTGTTGAGAGCCGTCTGCAGGGTCTGCAGGTCCCAGGGGTCCATCCTCCTCAGGTAGCAGGCTCGCTGCTCCAGTGGCTTGTAGCACACGTAGCCCTGCCAGACAGATGTGCCCCTTGGAGCAGATGGCACAGGCAGCCACCCCTGTCCCAGGAGCCCCCWAAAATGGACATCCTCCTTCCCCCTGCTCTGTGTTTCCTGACTTAAGGTGCAGAGGAAGGCAGCAAACACGAGCTGGTTGTCCTGGTCTATGCCCCCCGCTCCCCTCTGTGCCCCCTCACTCACGTTCCTGCTGTCGTACAGCACCACGGCGCTCAGGTTGCTCTGCGAGGTGATGTAGTAGGTGACGGTGCTCCTGGCCTTGTCCACCACGGCTGTCTGGTTCCTCAGCGGGTCCTGCTGGCCCTGGAGYGTCACTCGGACGAGCTGGGAGCCAGCCTGGGCACGAGCAGTGGGAGGGGAGCACCCACCATCAATGCTTGTGTGCAGCATCGCTCACCAACATCCACAGCTGGGCCCTGGGCTGCTCCCTGCTCCGTGTCTGACTGATTTATTGGCAGAGAGAAGGGGGCTCTGACCCATGGAAAGGATGATCCATGACTCACTCCATCATCAGAGCTGGGGAGAGGCACCAGTTCTGGAGGAAAGGGCCAGCGACCCATGGAAAGGATGATCCATGACTCACTCCATCATCAGAGCTGGGGAGAGGCACCAGTTCTGGAGGAAAGGGCCAGSGGCTCCCAGCCTCTGTCACTGCCAGCACCTCCCTGCTTTGCTGCACCTTCCTGCATTGTCCAAGGACTGAGCCAGCGGAGCCAGCCCAGATCTCAGCCCGCTCATCACTCCTGGGAGCTGCTTCCCACACAAATCAGGGCTGCAGGCAGGAGGAGGCTTCCTGCCTGGATTGGGATCCCTTACCTGGGCAGAACTGGGGGAGAAGCTGAGAACCCCCACGACACTGACGCCAACAACTGCAAAAAACAAGGCAACGGACAAGATGATCCAGAAGGTCCTGGAGGGAGCTGGGAAGTGTGCTGTGGCCCTCGTGTCCTGGGAGCCAGGGCAAAASAAGGAGGAACAGGAATTAAAATTGACCCTTCTGTCAATCCTTCTTCATCAAAAATGTTTCTAGCTCATGACACAAATCCTTGTGCAAACAGGTTGGAGCGTAGAGCTGTCAGACCATTGGCACCTGGAGCTTTTATCCCACAGCGCTGGAATTCCAGATCCAGCATCCTGGTAACCAGCACTGCCACAGCCAGGGAAGCTGCAAAGCCCCCARGGCAGGGCTGAGCAGCAGCTTTCCAGACACAAGGGAACAACAAATTAAAATATTTTGGTTTACAGCAGAAATCCCCAGTGGAACCATCAGCATTGGAATCAGATCCCGTGTGGAGTGATCCTGCTTCTGTTCCCCTCCCAGTGCTTGGCTGTGTTGGRTTTTCTTGCTAAGTTTTTCTCCATGAGACCAAGGAAAAGAGCTTGGCAGTGCTGTGACATTTCTATTGGCTCTATTAATTTACTTTAATTCTTATATCGAAGCAATTAAATTTAACTTCATGGCACGTAATGGGATTTTTACGAAGCAGAAAATGTGCTTTCAATAATCTCAAACACAGCCCACATTTAAAAAATAACCTGTTTCTCAGTCCTCTGAAGGATGGAGAAATTCAATCCATGCCCAGGATGTGCTCCAGCTGCCATGAGGATGGGCTCATCCAGCCTTGGGACACCTTCCACTATCCCAGGCTGCTCCAAGCCCCATCCAGCCTGACCTTGGACACTTCCAGGGATCCAGGGGCARCCACAGCTTCTCTGGGCACCCTGTACCAGGGCCTCCCCATCCTCACAAGGAAGAATTTCTCCCCGGTGTCCCATCCAATCCTGCCCTCTGGCAGAGAGAAGCTATTGCCCCTTGTCCTGTCACAGCTTTGTCCAAAGTCAAGTCCCAGGGGAAGGACAGAGCCAGCCTTTGCCCGAAAGCAGCAGGAACAAGGAATAGCCACAGCAGGAACAGGGAATACCCACTGCAGGGGCAGGGAATAGTGCAGGAACAGGGAATACCCACAGCAGGAACAGGGAACACCCACTGCAGGAACAGGGAATACTCACTGCAGGAACAGGGAATACTCACTGCAGGAGCAGCACGGCCGCCACCATCCCCTCTTTCCATCCTCCACTTCAGGCGAGGACCTGGCTGCTGCCGCTCTGCCTCCTGCCCACGCACAGACTGGGCATGATCCCGGCTCCAGGCACACCTGGGAAACCTAAACGTGTGTCCATGGGGCATAAATACCTGTCCCTCGCAGCCAAAGGGCTCCGCGGGAGGGGAAACTTGAGGCCAGAGCGGGAGCTGAGCGCTGCTGTCAGTGCCCGGCGCGGCTCTTCCTGCTCACCCCCGGGAGGGGCAGGAGCCACAATCGGGGTCTTTGTGTGCCCTCGGGGTTGGCAGGGCCCAGCACGGGTCCAGGTGAGGCTCATTGAGAGATCAAATGACCAGAGGACAGTGGCAGCCTGCCCTTGTGGCAGCGGYAATTCCCACATTTCAACGGGAACCCTGTGCTGCCGGAGCTCCGTGGGCTGGAGCCAGGTGTTGATGCTGCTGTCCCAGCCTGGGCTGCACAGACACACCTGTGCCACYCTTGGAAAAGGGGCTCTGCCACAAAGTCACCGCCACAGCCTGTGCTGCACTTGCACTGTCACCTGTGTCCTTTCCTGAGAAACTCCCTGTGGGAACAGCATTCCCAGATCACCAGATCCTGAGCGGTCCAGGAACACCCAAAATGTCTGAGATCCGCCAGCCAGACATAACCAAGGTGTGGAGGCAAGGAAAAGCTCAGAATTCCTTCATGTGATGCCTATCCAGGGAAAATGCAGGTTTTGGACATTTTCCTATCAAGCACAGCCTAGGGTTGAACAAACTGGGTGAAGGGAGCCCACAAGAAAAATGGAGAGGGACTTTGGACAAGGGCATGGGCAGGACAAAAAGGGGAACGCCTTCCCACTGCCAGAGATTTAGATCAGATGTTGGAAAGAAACTCTTCCCTGAGAGGGTGGGGAGGCCCTGACACAGGATGCCCAGAGAAGCWGTGGCTGCCCCTGGATCCCTGGAAATGCCCAAGGCCAGGCTGGACAGGGTTTGGAGCAGCCTGGGATAGTGGAAGGTGTACCTGACATGGCAGGGGCTGGCACTGGATGGGCTTCAAGGTCCTTTCCAAAGTGCATCCCTAACACCCACGATTCCCTGCACTGAAGGTCACAGAGATGAGACCACAAAAGGAGACAACGCAGGGGAGAGCAGGTTTGAGAGTTTAATAGGAATTCAAGTAGAGGATTAAGAACCGTTTGGAAGTCAGAACAGAATCTTGAAGCACAACTGACACCGCCACCAGCACATTCCAGCATCCCTGAGTCCAGGCAATGGCCCCCTTGGCCAGCGAGAGCCCTTGGCAGGGACAGAGCTGCCTGAGGGACACTGGATGCCTCTCCTGGCCTTTTCCTGACATAACCCAATACAAAAAGCACCAGAGACAGGGACTGAATCCGAACCCACACCGTTACATGAGACACAACCTGCAGTGACTCCATAACGTCCATTTCCACGTAACCCAGACCAAGGGCAAGCTCTGCCTCTGTGACTTTGCACAGTCCTTCATCTGAAGACAGGAACAGGGAAGAGATTATCTCCACTTCCACAACTCCAATTTACAAACAAACAACCTTTTAGATGATCAGCCAATGCTCTGGGAACACAAAGACCCTCTGGACTGCAGGGTTATTGCTGTACAAACAAGGTGACAAGTTACTAGGCAGGAAATAATATCAGCACTGCCCAAGCTCCTCTGCTGGACAGGAAGGAAAACCAGTGCTTAAACTGACTGTAGATACTGGAATCTATGGAATAAAAGCGAGTTATTTGCATATATAATTTTCAATTAATTCTGTAATGCAAAAGCTTTCACTGTGGGATTTGGGCAGCACAAAAACCACCCTKTGGCTGAGTCCCTCAATGCCCAATCCCACTTGGAGATCAAATGGAATCATCCCTGAGCAAGCCAGCACTCCTCCTCACTACCCACCATGTCCAGCCCAGGCTGGCACATGCGGAAGATCTGAACCTCAGGGATGGGAAGGAAGCACGGATATTGTCACACACAGCCAGGAGCCACAGGGCTCCTTGTGGAGAGCTGTCCTGGGCACTACATCCATCCACAGACTGAGCAGGAATTGGGATTGTGCAGCTAAAGCCAARGCAAGTGGCTCGTTGATGCTGAGGGAAGTGCAGGAGCTCGGTATGGATCAATCCCRGGATTTCTGGGAAGCAGCAGGAGTGAAGGACAGTCGTGCATGGCTACAGACTCTCTGCATTACCAAATGCAACAATTTAGGAGAATTAAATCTACTGCCATCAGTGAAGTACATTCCTCTCATCCTGTCTCCTGGGAAATAAGATATATTATCATAGACTCTATTTATAATTTAAATATATTCTGCTCTATCTTTATGCTCAGGGAGTGCCTGTGTGTACATGTGCTTTCCACACACTCAACCTTGGAAGACACTGTGTGCAGCAGCCACGTTTGGAACTGTGTGGGRTCATCCCAATCTGCATCACAAGTGCAATGTGCAGTGGTCAAACGAAGAACATGAATTTGTGTGACCTGATGTGGGGCTGTGCCCCTGAACAGGGCCCCATTTAGAAAAATGAATCACCCCATGGGCAAACACCAGCTCCACAAGTGTTTCCAAACATAACCAGGGTTACTGCACATCCCAAGAGTCGTTACCCTGAACAAACCAGGCTGAGCCATGGCCCAGACRTGGTCCTTCTCCTCAGATGAACCAGCTCCACTTCCCCAGCTCAGCCCAGAGGACCCTGTACATTGAATCAATGCATTTACAATTAAACCCAGCCCCAAGCCCCAGCCCCAGGTGCCACTGTAATGCCCCCTTAGTTCCAAAGTGCATTTCAGACTGAGATGTAAACAGAATCATACYGAGAAGACAGAGAGGTGAAAAGCTAAGGGTTCTAGCTCCGGGAAGTATCTAGTGCGTATGTTACTGTCACAGGGTGATTACCAGGGCTGCTCCCTGCACCCCGTTACTCCCCCAGCACCGGGAGCAGGTCGGCAATGCTGTCGACGTAGTAATCAGGGACCAGGCTGTGCCTGGCAGGAGAGTCGCTGTCCTGGTGGCCCCGCACCTCRTCCAGCGCCGTGACCCCGGTGAGGGTGAGCAGCGTGGTGAGGCCGCAGTTGTTGCCCATCAGGATGTCCGTGTCCAGCCGGTCCCCCACCATGATGGTGCGCGCGGGGTCCACGTCGAACTCGCTGGCCACGCAGTCGAACATGAAGCGGTTGGGCTTGCCCACGATGAAAGCCTCGCGCTGCGCCGCCGTCTCCACGGCCTTCACCAGGCATCCTGTCCCTGCAGGGAACACGGAGCAGGGATTAGGGGCAGAAAGCCCTTGGCATCCATACGAGTTAGTACAAACCCGCTCAGGACATTAGGAACGTGATGCCTCAGCTTTACAGGTAGGACAGGTTGGTCCCAGGAGAAGTGGTGCATAAAGCCTGCCAGAAGACTGGAATTCCATCTCACAGAGTCAAAAGGGAACTCCTATTTGCAAGTAAGGGATTAATAAGGATTCTCCCTCTTTCAGGGATGCTGTGAAAGAAAGGCTCCAGAACACCCAGGCTGCCTCAAAGAATCCCAGGATAGTCAGGGTAGGAGGGGACCTCTGGAGATCATCCAGTCCAATCCCCCTRCAAGGCAGGGTCACCTGGATTAGGCGACACAGGAACGTGTGTAGGCAAGTTTGGAACACCTCCAGAGACGGAGATTCCATGACCTCCCTGGGCAGCTRTTCCAGGGCTCTGCCACTCCCTGGCTAAAGTTCTTCCTTAGATTGAGGTGGAACTTGTTGTGTTTTATCAAYGCAACACCGAGGTGTGATAAGACACAAAGCTGAGCATACAGACCCCCCCAGACCCGGGAGACCACCCGCTCCATCCCCCCCTGCCCGCSCACCGGGGATGGCGGCGCCGCCCTCGAGCGGGAGCCGGTGGTCGCGGTTGGTGCCGACGAGGAGACAGTCGGGGCCGCCGCGCAGGAGGTACCGCAGCGCCTGGCACAGCTTCGCGTAGCTGAAGTGCTCGTCGAAGCCCACGAGCACGGCGCGCACGGCGGGGTCGAGCGGCGCCTGCACCCAGTCAGCGGGCGCGGGGCCGGGCAGGGCGGCGGGCCCGGGGCCGAGGTGCGGGATCCCCACGGCCTCCAGCTCGGCGGCCAGCGCGGGGCTGCCCAGCACGTAGGCGGCGGCGCCCGGCGGCAGCGCTTGGCGCAGGTAACGGGCGGCGCAGAAGGCCGAGCCGAAGATGTGCCGGGGCTCGGCGGGCGGGAAGCCGAGGCGCCGCAGCTTCTCGGTGTAGGCCACGCGCGTCCGCCCGCTGTTGTTGGTCACGTAGCACAGCCGCTTGCCCGCCGCCGCCAGCCGGCCCAGCGCCGCCGCCGCGCCGCTCACGGCCGCCTCGCCCCGCCACAGGACGCCATCGCAGTCGAAGAGCAGCGTGTCGGCGTTGGCGAGCACGGCCCGCGCCACCTCTCCCTCCAGCCGCCGGCACTGCCGCGGGCCGCCCGCCGCCATCGCGCCTGCCATGGCCACCCCGCCGCGCCCGAGCGCCCCGCGCTCCCCATTGGCCGGCCAGCCTCTGGCGCCCGCTACACGGCCTTTCCTATTGGCCGCGCTCCGCACGGACAGCGTCCCCATTGGGCGGCGGTGCCGGCGGCCACGCCCACCCGCCGGGAGCCGGCGCCCGGTGTCCCCGCCCTTCCTCCCGCACGTCGCCGCCGGTGGCGCCCGGCGTGCTGCGCTCTCATTGGCTGTGCCGCTCCATGGCCCGCGCCCCGCGCGCTGCTATTGGCCMGGGCGCCGCGGGGCTCGTTAGGTAACGCGTTAGGCAACTCCGCGGTAACTCGGCGGTAACTGCTCAGACTCCGCTCCGCCGGGGCTCGGGGGTCACCGGGGGGAACGGAGGGAGCGTGCCCCGACACCGCCCGCCGGCGTCCGGAACCTCCGAGCCGCGGGCGCGTTCCCCGCCGAGCCCCGTCCCGTTGTTATGACGACACGGCCGTAAAGCCGCCATCTTGCGGCGCGTTGCGACACGGGGGCCGCGATGGCAACGGGCGCGGGGCCGGCGGCGCTTACGGCAGAAGCGGCCGGGCCGGGCCGGGGCACAGCGACCGCGGCCTCCGGGCCCCCCGCACCCCCCGCCGCCCTCATCGGCCTCCCGCCGCCCTTCGGCGAGCAAGGTACCGCCCTCACAGGGCCCCGGCCGGCACAGGCAGGCCTGGGGGCGGCGCGGCCCGAAGGGCCCGGTGGGTGACGGGGCTGGGCCGGTACTGTCAGCGGGGCGGGAGGCGGCGGGGTCTCCGCGTTCTCTGCCGGGATCGCCCAGCTCCCCTTCGGCACTGGCTGTCCGGGCGGAGCGGCGGTGCTGGTGTACCACATTGGCGGGAGAGGCTGTGCAGTGTCCCTCACTGGAGCTGCTCCAGCGGGTCTGGACACAGTGCTGCTCCGTGCGCTCTGGGGCGGCCCTGCTGGAGCAGSGAGCTGGGAACACACCCTCCAYCTCCACCCTTCCATCCTGACCCATCCTGCGGGCCCGTGCTGCCCTGCCCCGGCCCCAATGACCGAGTTTTCCCCCRCAGACGAGGATGACGTGCACAAGTGCGGGCGCTGCCAGTCGGAGTTCAGCTCTCTGGAGGAGTTCGTGCAGCACAAGCTGCAGAAGGGCTGCCAGCGCCCTCCCGACGCGCTCGCCGGGCTCCTCGGCCAGGAAGGACAAAAGGTGACAGCGGCTTCTCCGAGCCGGGGCTGGAATGATTAGGATGCAATGGTCTGTTGGGTTAGAGGGGAGGGAGCAGTGTGTTTAGACAAGCAGAACCTGCCTGCTGAAACGTGCTCTGTGCCAGCAGGTGGTTCCTGCTGTCGAGGAGTCCATCACTGTGGCTCACATTGTTGTTGAAGCATCTTCCATAGCAGAGGAGATCAGCAACGCCTCGGCCATCGTAGGTGAGCTCTGAGGTGCTGCCTTGGCACCCCTGGACAGTTTGGAACCTCTTTCCTCTGTCTTCTGATGGCTTTGGGTTGTGKCTGGGTGCATGACACCTCTGTGTCACTGGGGATTTGGGGCTCAGTGTTCCCTCAGAGCTGTGGGAGGCAGCTCCAGGCCAGCTCTGCAATCCCCCYCACATTAGGATCATGGAACAGAGTCATGGAATGATTTGGGTTGGGAGGGTCCTTAAAGCCCARCCAACAGGGTAAAGCTTTGTCCTGTAAAGAACCCAACTGTCTCCTCACCTTTTCCCAGGCAGTGGGCACATAAAAGAAGTCATTGTAGCAGGAGACCATGTGTTTGAGAACCCAAATGGCCACGTGGACGGGGAGGTCAGTGAGGAGCAGGGTAGCCCCGAGGAGCAGGAGCAGGACATTTCCACCGAGCTGATCAAGGTGAAGCTGCAGATGAACAAGGAGGGCCGATACGTGTGTGAGCTCTGCCAGAAGACATTTAAAACGGTGAGTATCCCCTCTGCTGATRTGGGTTAGGGAGGTGGTTAGGCTGGCTGTAAGCTAAGAGATCCCAAAACTCAGTGACAGTGTACTTCCAAAKGGAAGTTCTSTWTTCAYAAGGARCCTTGTTCTTTACAGCTGAAGTGTGAAATCTTTAAACTGTTTGGAACGTCTCTTAAAGGATATTTTTTTCCCCTAGGCCAGCATCCTCAAAGCTCACATGATCACTCACAGCAGCAGGAAGGACTACGAGTGTAAACTCTGTGGAACTTCCTTTAGGACAAAGGGGTCTCTGATCCGACACCATCGGCGGCACACTGGTAAGASTTCTCCAAAATAAGGGTTTCCTGTTACTGGGGTTGTCTGTGATTATCCGTTTGCCTTGTAGTGGAATTTCTTGCCGCTTTCCATGTTTTGCTGAGCTAAAACTGTTGAGCTCCCCAGTATTTGGGGTGCTGGGAGGCGATGGAAGGTTCTGGGATAGSCACAGTCATGTGCTGTAGAAAGCTGAACATGTTCTTCAGCCTGTCACACAGAGCTTATCCTGGCAGTGCTGGCCTTAATATGGTTATTTTGATTCTTGTCATTTCCAGATGAAAGACCTTACAAATGCAAGAAATGTGGGAAAAGCTTCCGGGAATCAGGAGCTTTGACTCGGCACCTTAAATCTCTGACACCTTGCACTGAAAAAATCCGCTTCAACATGACCAAAGAAATAGTTGTCAACAAAGATGATCTGCCATCAGGTCAGTGATTGTGTCAGGACCTGCCTCGTGTCTGATAAAACCAAATGCTCACAGCACTTGGAATATAAATTCCTTCTGGCCCAGGTTGCCCAGAGAAGCTGTGGCTGTCCCTGGATCCTTGGAAGTGTCCAAGGGCATGTTGACATGGATGGTGTCCATGGCAGGGGGTTGGAATTGGATGAGCTTTAGGATCCCTTCCAATCCAGATCATTCCATGATTTCTTATTTATGAAAAATCAAGATGAAAAAAAAGTATTTCTGTGGTATTGAATGTATATTTTTTATGCCAGGAAAAGTAATTTATAGAGCAAAGCTATTAYCCTGAAGCCAGGTGTGAACTCAAGAACGTTTCAGAGTCTGGTACAAAGGTGGCTTTAAAATGCACCTCCAGCTCTAAGGCAGATTTTTTAGGGCACACAGAGTTGTTGTGGGGTGGCGTTTCCCCAAATGGTTCATCCCTTGCAGGATCCTGCAGCTCCAACACAGACACAATGTCCTCGATAGCGAGCGAATCCATCGAGGCCTCYCCCGTCATCCACCTCGTGACAGATGCAAAAGGCAACGTTCTCCATGAAGTCCATGTGCAGATGCAGGAACTTCCTGTGGTGGATGCAAAACCCCTGGAATCAGATGTGAGTGTTGTCTCAAACACCCTCTGTGTGTTTTACACAAAGAACATTTCACCTTATGAGCAAAAGTTTCTTGGGTCCTGACAGTAGACCTGAGTGGAGGAATGAATTTGGTTGTTTTCCACGTGGGCAGGTGCTGTGCTCTGACCTGGGCCCCTCTGCTGCTGAGCTGAGCTGAGCACTGTGTGTAGCTTACAGGGGCTGGTGCTTCACCACCACATACTTTCAAATGAGGGGATGTTTTTGTTCACCATTCCCTGCTGTGAGACTGTGGTAGGAGCAAAGGCTTGTCATCCCTTGGGTTTTCTTGAGTACAAATCCAGATCATCCTTCTCCCCAGCTCAAGATATTCCCATGTTGATCTTTCAACCCCATAGCACAGCACTGGATACCCCAGAGAGAGTGACCCTTGCAGCAGTGTTGCAGTAAAAAAGGACAAACTATGGATTTGCTGTGCCAGACTTCCTCTTTGTTCCTTCAGCAGTCACATCCCGAGGAGCTGCCATGTGAAGGGGAAGTGAACAGTGAGAACCTGCTGAGGCAGGCCATGAGGAATTCGGGAATTGTCATTGAGAGAGTTGCTGTGGAAGAGATGCAGAAGCAGGATGAACCTGTGGCAGCTGCTCCAGAAGAGCTGGAAAACAAAGGAGTGGAAGTAGAAGAGGAGCCATGTGGAGAGCAGTGTGTTAAACCGGAACAAGCAAAGTCGGTGTGTTTGTATTCCATCAATAGATGAATTTTTTAACCTTCTTTGTCTCTATTTGKTTGTGGGCAGTGTTCCTTATCTGTCTCTGCTGTGCCTATGGCTTTGTGTCAGTTTTTAGAGCTATATTGTGCACCTGTGATTTAAGGGAAATCTTACTTCACATGTCTGTCTCTCAACACAGAGATCTCTTTCCTGTCAAAGCTGGAGTGTTTAACTGGGAATTTGGGTAGCAATCCTACCTGGACACACTAGTAGAAAAAACATCAGTTTTTCTGTTTTCTCTCCAGCAGACACCTGCAGAAAGAACCAACGGGTACAAACGCTTCATTTGCTCTCACTGTAATGAAGCCTTCAATGAAGCTGCTGCCCTGGAAGCACACAGTAGGAGTCACACAGGTAAAGTGCTGCTGGGGCTGTTGTCTGACACAAGCTGTGAGGCTCAGTGACCTCAACCATGGTACAGCTCCTGCTGAGGAGACTGCGGGAGCTGGGCCTGGTCAGTCTGGAGAAGGGAAGGCTGAGGGGATCCCATCAATCCWTACAAACATCTCCAAGGGTCAGAGGATGGTCTCAGTGTTCACAGGTGACAGTGACAGAACAAGGAGTAATGGCCAGAAACTAAACCACCACAAGTTCCACCTCAACCTAAGGGAAAACTTGCCATGATGGTGGCAGAGCACTGGAACAGCTGCCCAAGGAGAGCCTGGATTCTCCCTTKGGAGACATCCCAGACCCACCTGGACGTGTTCCTGTGTCACCTGCTCCAGGTGACCCTGCCTGGGCAAGGGGGTTGCACTGGATGATCTCCAGAGGTCCCTTCCAACMCCAGCTGTTTTGGGGTTCAGTGAAAGCCCACACATGTGGTTGAACATAAAATTCCTCTCCCTCTCCAGGCTGTTTTTTGTAAGAAGTCAGTTACATCTGTATCAGATCCTTGTGCCGCGGGTCGCCCTGGATCACCCACACATTTTCTCTCTGTCTCTCYAGAGTACAAACCTTTCAAGTGTGAGGAGTGTGGCAAGGAGTTCACCAARGGTTACTTGCTGAAGAAGCACCAGGAGGTGCACGTGAACGAGCGGCGGTTCCGCTGCGGGGAGTGTGGGAAGCTCTACAAAACCATCGCCCACGTGAAGGGGCACCGGAGGGTGCACTCGGACGAGCGGCCCTACGCCTGCCCCAAGTGYGGCAAGCGCTACAAGACAAAGGTGGGCCCCCTCACACTGGCCTCTGTAAAGGCTTTGTAAAACCATAACTTTTCTTGGAGAAAGTTTTCCTTCATGTGTGGAGCAAATATGTGATAAGTGTCCTGGTTCTGGCCAGGATGGGTTAATTTTTGCAGTAGCCAGGAGGGAGTATGGCCAGGGTATTCTGGGGTGGAGAAAAGGGATTCGTTCTATCTGTTGTCGGGGGGATTTCCATGTGAATTGCTCACCTCTTTCTTGCACTCTCATCAGTATGGTTACTGTTTTTTGCTTTCTTATCTCWTTGCTATTTCCAGTAAATTGTTTTTATCTCAGCCCATGATCTTCACCATTTGTGCCTCCAGTTCTCCTCTCCAGTCCACTGCAAGGGGATGGAGAGGGGGAGAGAGGGGGAGCAAGCAAGTGGCTCGTGGTTTGGAGAGTCCCAGTGGAAGCACTAACTTGGGGACTATCAATCCTAAACCACCATGCAAGAAAATTAAGTCCTATAAAACAGTTGAGTTCCATCCTGGAAGCTAAACCCCTGTGTCCATGAATTTGTGTTGTCCTTTCTGACCCTCCCCTTGCCCCGTGTGTGCAGAACGCCCAGCAGGTGCATTTCCGTACCCACCTGGAGGACAAGCCCTACGTGTGCCAGTTCTGCAGCCGGGGGTTCCGGGAGAAGGGCTCCCTGGTGCGCCACATCCGCCACCACACYGGAGAGAAGCCCTTCAAGTGCTACAAGTGCGGGCGGGGCTTTGCCGAGCACGGCACCCTCAACAGGCACCTGAAAACCAAAGGTGAGCAGGGCTGCCCTGGGGGAAGGCTGCTCTGGGGCTGGGTTGGGACAGGCTGCCCTTGGGCTGAGTGGGAATGGTGCTGCGGGTGGGTCTAACAGCCTGCGTGCAAGTGGGGATGTTCTGTGAGGGAAAATGTCCTGAGTGAAGTTGTCACCAATAATCTGCTTTGATGGGATTAGTTACACTGGTCTTGCTGTTCCTTTAGCTCCTAAGCAGGGATTTTCAGACCTCTTCAGGTRGTGCTGATGGTGTTATTCCAAAGGAATAATACATATTTACTGGAAGAGAGTTTCCTAGAACATACTGAAATGTATCAGAAGAAAAGATTGGTGACTTAAATGACACCCAAACTCTTCCTGCATGTTCTTCACATAAGGCCTTGAAAAGCCTATGTGGTTTTGCCACCTGAATTTACCCATGTGGTGTTTGSAAGTGCACTGGAGAGCTGTTCTGCTCAAGGCTTTGTTCCCTGGTGTCACATGGGCTCTTCTGGGCTGTTCCTTGGCCTGTTCTGGTGAACCAAAACCTTCTCTTGTGACACTGGTCACTTGTCCATGACATCCCCTAAAGAAGCCTCAGTGGGGCTGTGTAGCATCTTCCAGCTACTATCTGAGATGGCCACAAAAAAATGATGTTTTTCTGGAATTCCATGCAGGTGGCTGCCTCCTTGCTATGAAAGATGTGGAAGAAGTGATAGTWTCAGAGGAAAGTCAGTCTGCTGACAACTTAGCAGCCACAGTCCTTTCGGAAGATCCCCACACGGTTCTGGTGGAGTTTTCCTCGGTGGTGGCAGACACCCAGGAATACATCATTGAGGTGAGAAGGGGCAGCCAGCATGCTCGTTGGGAATTTAGGACAGGATTTGGTCTGGAAAAGCTGCAGTTGTACATGTTCCTGCTCCAGGCTTTTAGGACAGGGTCAAACAGGCTCTGCCCTGCCAGCATGGCCCCAGGAGTCAGTAGGATTTGCCCTGTTTGGAAGGAAAGCACTTGGAGCTTCCCCACCTCCCAAAGTGCTGTGTGTGGGCAGGAAAAGGAAAAGGGAAGACTGCCAGTGGCTCAGCAGGAGGCTGAGCCTGAACACTTCTGACCACACCAGATTTTTGGTCCTCACAAACTTGCTTCAGCTTTCCCTACTATTTTCTCCCATTTCTATTTTTTGTACTTTGTCCCAGATAATCTTTGTTGTTTCTAACAGAGGTTGGCATGAGCAATGAATTCTGTATTTCACTTTCTCTCCGCCATGACACAGCCAGTTCTCATCTAAGCAGGRTAACTCAGCTCAGTTATTGAGTGCTGCCGTAGTTTATCTCGAGTAGRAGAAAAATCTGCTGCTTGGCCAAATCCTGCTGAGGGAGGACATTCTCTTGCAGTTATTTGTGAACATTTTGCATTAATTTTAAGTAGTTCCTGATAACAGGATTGGGAGGCACTGTCAAGGAGCTGTCTTTGGAGTAGCTGCTGGATGTGGGGGGAACACAAAGACTCGTGCAAAAGATCATAGTGAATTATATCTTGGTGATAAAAATTTCTTTTGGAGGAACATAAAAAGGAAATAATCTTATTTTGTCTTTCAGACTTCAACTGAAGACATGGAGACAAGTGAAGCTACTGAAATAATAGAGGGAACAAGACATGAGGTAAAGCAGTCCTTCARTGACACAAGGGGTGACACATTGCAGAGTCTGTTCTGTTCTGGGGATGTAGAGATGGAGGGGTCTGGGATGCAGAGCTGCTCMTGTCACTGCCCTGTGGCCATCGGGTACCTCCACAAAGGTAACTATTGTCAATTCTTGCAGTAAACACCAACCATCAGTGCAGCCCCCTCTCTCCTCATAGGTCGACAGCCACATCATGAAGGTGGTGCAGCAGATCGTGAAYCAGGCCAACTCTGGCCACCAGATCATCGTGCAGAATGTCACCGTGGCCGAGGGCGCCGCGGCCGCCGACACCGCCGACACCATCACCATCGCCACCCCCGAGAGCCTCACCGAGCAGGTGGCCATGACCCTGGCCTCGGCCATCGGCGACGGCGCCGTGCTGGCCACCGACAGCGGCCTGGCCACACAGGAGGCCACTGTCACCATGGTGGCATCTGAGGACATYGAGATCATGGAGCACGCCGGCGAGTTCGTCATTGCTGCCTCGCAGGAGGGCGAGGTGGAGGTGCAGACGGTGATCGTGTGAGGGTGGAGCAGCTGCACACTGCCTGGCTTCTCCAGCCTGGGGTTTGGATCGGGCTGATGGGGGCACTGGAGCTGGGCAGAGAGCAAGGGGGGAATGTTCTGGAGGGCAGTGGCTTCACGGGATAGTGCAGGCCCAAAGGGGGATAATGCAGGACTAAAACGGGATAGGACAGGCCCAAGGTGTTCCCAGGAGTTAMACCCTTGGCCTGGTCACACTGAGGATTCTGACAGGTCACAGCTGACACTCAGTATTCTGTACAGCAGCCTCGAATTAAGGAAGATCCTTTGGGAATCAGTTCCTTCTGCTCACGGAATAGCAGTGGTCTGGTTTTTAAAAGGATTCAGAAAGTGTAGCAAATATGGGGGCGTCTCACAAAGGATTATTTAAATATATGCATTTAAAAAAAAGTTGAGAAAACCAAACCTAAGGAGTAGTGGTGTGTGTTRAGCACCACTGAAACACTCTCATGCCTTTAACCTCACTCCTTCAGGCCTCCCAAGGCATGGTACTGCAGTATTTCTCTTYTCTTTGATATCCTGGACAAGTAGCCTTATGTACTGGTCTATGAATGCATCATTGTACCCTGCAATGCCAGCCAGGCTGCTCTGAGAGCCAGCCTGGGGGCTGGAAAGCCATATTGTATAGGAATTTGGTTTTTTTAAACCATATATGGATTTTTAATTGCATATTGTACAGATTTGGCATGTAAATAAATACATTTTTAAAAATAAAATTATTTAAAGTTCTTACTATATTATTTTCCAATTTCTCTTCTATTGTACTCAAACAGACGAATTTCTGGAAGGAGAAGCGAACAGGGACACTTYCATTTCCTTCCTGAAGTTAATGTTCCAGATTTGCAGTAGGATGTGGTTTGTGCAGATAAGATCCTGCCAGAAATCATTTTTGCAGCTAAGTACACACAACCTGTTGTAGTCATTGTTAACAGTAACGGGTTAACTGTTTTCCACAAAAAGATGCTGCTTCCTCAAAATTCGCAGGAGCTCTGTGTTAGCCCTTTCCAGAAAGACTGACTTTGGGAAGATGGACCAAATCCCTCTRATCAGGGCCAGGACTGAACTGGACCCAAGTCTCGCTGAGGGATCTCAAATGATGCTCTGCTGAGGCACCAATATGGGAATTCTGCTGGAATCTTGTTACGAAATTTGTCTGGGGCAGCCACGCCCACGGCTGAACCAAAGTCTTAGAAAATGTTTAAAAATGCCTAGAGAAACAACAATCCCTTCATGTTTTCTTCTTCCTTTCCAACACTGTAGGAGGCTTAAAGATTTCCTTTAAATTTCTCCAGATCCCTTTAGWGTAAATGTTTTTGTAAACAAGTGGTCTGTCATGAGGCTGTGACGGGAGGTGGGGGGACCCCCCAAATCTTCTGGATTTGCACCATTCATTGGTGGTTTGGTTGGTGAGGGCCAAATACAGACTGAAGGAGCAATATCCACCCAGGACGAGCGTGAGCAGGATAACAAACCCCAGCATGAAGACAATCCTAGGGAAAGTCAAGAAAAGGTGCTGCAGAAAAAGAGAAAAATAGGTCAAAAAATGGGAGGGTCGAATCCCAGGACCACTGCAGAGCCCCAGCTGGAATGCACATCCATGTGCACATGGAACTGTGTCTACATTCCAGGGTGGTGTGTCCTGCTTTAACAGCTCCACCAAGATACCTCAGGGACTCCCAACAGCTGGTCACTGGAATGTAAATTCCTTCTTTATAAACCAGATCTGCCAAGTGACAGATCCTGGAGACAGGAACCTGTAGGATGGGAAGTGCTGTGAGGAAAATCCCCCATTTTTAAACATTCTGCAGCGGCAGTTTTCTAAATGCAGTTACCTGTGTRAAGCAGCTAAAAACCTGCACTCTGCCCCCTTCCTGGGAGGACAACATTCTCGACAACAAAGTGTGAGACAGAATATTTTATAGCATGAACTGACCTGAACRAGGAAGGGAATCTCCACGGYGTGCTCCTGTCCCTGGGCATCCAGRTAGGTCCCGTGCATGATGTTGGAGAGCAGCAGCACCTGGATGAGGAATGCAGCCGTGACAGCAGCGATGGCTGCGGCTGTGGCYGTCAGGGAGAGCAGGTAGAGCAGGAAAACGCCGGCGTTGGAGGCACCAATGCAGTTGTTGACCCACACACAGTGGTGGTCGAAGCGGTGCACACACGTCCTGCAGACACCTCGAGGAGGCAAGGGCAAAACAGACATCTTGGCACTTGATTTTTAAGTAATCGGTTTGATCTTTACATGGTTTGTTAGTTGAAACTATGTATGAGTTACAGTCAGGGTTTAGCAGGCAGCTTTTGAAACAAATAATTTAAATTGTGTATCATAAGAAAAGCAATGAATCCCATTGCCTCTTTTATTCACCAAGACTGCARCTCCAAGATTTTGGTTTCTCTGACAGTACTGCCTGGCACAGCATCTGAAAGGTACAGATTATAGCTCCCACTGTTATTTTAGATGATAAAACGGACTTCTAAACCCTGAAAGTGTTCCAGGTCAGGCTGGACAGGGCTTGGAGCAACCTGGGAYAGTGGAAGGAGTGAGAYGAGATAGGTTTTAAAAGTTCCTCCCTCCCAGCCCAAACATTTCCAGGATTCTGTGAAATACAAAATCCTGAACTCAGGTCTTGACAGGTGGTAATTTCTCATTTAACTTCCAGCTGTTCAAAAGTTTGGTTGTTCCTGACCCTGAATTATCCCCTCAGAACTGGTAATTTCTGTGAGAAGAAACAGCACCCAACCAGCTCCACAGATGGGCAAATGCAGCTGGAAGCTCAGGAAAACAAACACAGCCCTGTGTGCACTGAGCTGGTAACAGAACAGCTGTAGTGGGAACTGCAGTTCCTGGGGGAGAATTCCTTTGGGAAAGTGTTACTGCCATGCTCATCAAGGAATTTCAGATCCTTACTGCAGTGCTTGGACCTGGCTGGCTTCTCCACGCTGCACGTGGGACACACGAGGCCTCTCTGAAACAACACCCCRTCATAGGCATAAACCTGAACCAGTGATGCAGCATTGGATTTTGTTATTACACCTGGAAAAGAGACAAGAAAAAYGGCTCAAAATGGGATTCACAGCATTATTTTCTGTTTTCAAAGAGCATGAGAATGATCTTACCAGGATTGGCCYGGGAGCAGAGCAGGAAGCAGCCCATGTTCCCAGCCAGCAGCAGGTAGGGCAGGAGGAGGAGGAGGAGGTGGAACTGCAGCTCCCAGCAGTACACAAACACTTCCCAGGTGTATTCCCCAAACACTGCAGCCTGCAGGGCTATGTGCAGGACCACAAACAAACAGCTCCTGGAAAGGAAAGGGGACAGTCTATTTAATACCCAGCATCCTGATTAACAGGTCAAGTGCACTCAGAGGTGATCAAAGACCTTCCAAACGCAAGGAGACACATCTTTTAGGTTTTCAGGCCAGCTTGGATTGCATATTAATAGTGTTTTCTCCATCCACTGGCTTCTCCTTCTTTTCTTCCCACATACACTCCTTTAAATATGTCAGCTAAAYTCCCTGCTTTGTTCACATGTCCTTTGGATTTTATTTTCCCTGTCAGTACAAAGTCTTATAATCACTTGCTGCTGACAAAATATGCCACAGCAATAGGCCACAAAACATTCTGCCAGAAGATTTTGCTACTCTGAAAGCAAAGAAAACACCAAGAAATAATTTWAAAAACACTGTAAAAATACAACCAGCTGTTAGAAAGTAAGTGTGGCAGGAAGTGGGCAGTGGTGAACACCAGTTCCAGAATGCGTGGAGAGTCCCAGTGCCCCCAGCACCTCTGACAGTGCCACCTCTAGAGCAGAGGATCAGCAGGACAGGCACAAACAACCCCAGAACTGACAGCACAGCTGATTTACAGCTCTGTCACTGTCACACCGAGCTACTGTCCCCAGAGAAAAGGTATATAAATCATTCCTGAGGCACCAGAGTTTACAGACGCTACAAAATCCACCTGAATCCAGCAGGCTGCACGTTGGCAGCTGGGCAGCTTCCCCYGAGCCACCTGGACATCCAGGCTGCTGGACTGAGACTAATGGGATTTGAGGGAGAGGATGGAGACTGAGAGTCTGTCTGACTCCATCTGCAGCTGCCAGAGAGGCTGTGGTAATTCCTATGGGGATGCACAATCCCACCAGTGTGACCAACATCTGTTACYGAGCCACATTATCTTTATTTGTCAATATGTTCAAACATTTCAGGGTTCCACCTTCTAAACAATGAACGAGGAGGGGAGAGAACAGCGTGGCAAACCTCAAAGGGAATCTGTAATYCCTGATAGGCATCCCAAATGGAGACAGAATATATCTAAGGGTGATACTGAGAGCTCTGATGGTGGCAGGARATCCCACCAGTAACCAGAAATAGTAAAAAATAATGGCAAAGGCATAAAAGTGCAATACCTTGTGTGGAAAAYCCTGTGCAGAGCCCGGTGTGTCACCCTCTGGAGCTGGGTGGGGATCACCAGTGACAACACCTGAGGGAAATAAAGCACTKTCACCTGAACTGCACATCACTGCTGCCTTGGGACAAGCTCAGATTTGAGTACAAGTCYCTCATCCCTCAGTTCTGGATCTGCACAGCCACAACACTGGGGACGGGGCTCCTTTGCAGGGGCATCTGAGCTTGTCACCACAGAATCAAGGCTGGAGGAGACCTTCAGGATCATCCAGTCCAACATAACACACAGAATCACTGAATCTTGGAATCACTAAGGTTGGACAAGCCCTCCAAGATCCTCGAGTCCCACCTGTGCCCAATCCCCACCTTGTCACCAGCCCAGAGCACCGAGTGCCATGTCCATTCCTTCCTTAGACGGGGACTCCAAATCTCTCTGAGCAGTTCCACCACCTGACCACCTTTTCCACAGAGAAAGAACAGAGGCAGGAAAGCTGCTGGGGTTTTCCACATGGGAGCGAGGTTCCATATTCCTGGGAGCCCACCAGGCCCAAACAAACCTATCTGGGTTAATGTGTGAAAGTTCTGAGAAGCTTAGGGTGGGTGCAGGACAGGGATGAGTTAAGCAGGGGATAGAACTGAGCAATTCCCCWGTTACAATATGCTCCATCAGGCCAGATCAAGGGAAGATAAGCAAACGGATAAACCCTGTGGCCTCCAGAAAMGAGACCAAAAAAATTCCATGAGCCAGCCAAACTCCCAAAAGATCCAGTTTCTCCTGCTCCAGCTCTGATCCAGCCCGATGGCTCCATGTCTAATTGCCCTTTCAAGCACAGCTCGATGTGCTGAAGAAGGAACCTGCCTGTGCTCATTGAGTGAATGCCTCAGCCAGGGAWGTGCCTGTGGAATTGTCTGACTCGGCTGCTCCGAGCTGACAGATCTCTATAGCAACACGGCGTAGGAATTAGAGCAGCTGAGCCTATTTCTAGCTGACGTGGAAAGAAAATATGCAGTGAGAGCTTCTTGCCTCAGATGTGAAAGACCAGGAGGCAAAAAGCATATGTGGAGCTGCGAAGACGCTAAATATTTTTGTGTGAAGTCTCATCTCGGCGCTTCGAGGGACGAGTGTTTGTGAAAAGAGGCTTTTTTCAAGTTTGCTGCAAGAGGAAACACACCCCAGCAGAAAGGAAACTGCAGGAAACTTCAGCACACTGCCAGGCTTATGCCAAGTGCCCTCAGCTGCTCCTCCATGGCCCTTCACCACCCTCATGTCCCTCCTTTGGACACCTTAAGAGCTTCAGACCCTTTTGATGTTGTGGGGTTTGTTCTGTACTGGTTCATAATTACCTTACATTGTGACTTTATATTGAGCATTATCTGTATTTATGGCCCAGGTAGAGTATTGATTATATTCACCTGTATTTATTTCCCTGGCACAAGTATTGATTAGATTCCTCCAGACAGTGGCTTCACACCACAGCAGTAATTTAATTGCTGCTTTTTAAACCCTTCATATCAGCAGCTATAAAGAAATGGGGGGAAAGAATCAATTTCTTTGCACAAGGTGTCTATAACCAAAAGAAAGTGCAATATCAGTAATAAAAAAAGTCTGTCTGAACTCCTGTGAACAGCATTAAATATGATTTACAGTTTAAGTGATAATTCTCTCATCCTATCCCTTCAGAAATTTTCATTTTTTTCCCCTTTCCATTCAGACACAGCCCAACAGACAGAAAAATGAAGTCGTGCCTTTCCAATTCACCATTTTTACAATAAAATGCCAATTCTTAATCCTCTTTTAAAGCTCTTTACTCCCTCTTTCTTAGCAAACAAGAGCCTGCAGCATTAGTACACACATTAAAGAGCTTCCCCTAAAATATCTGCCACCACTTACAATTCTCTCCCTGTTTTAATCCTCAAACCTCCCACACCTTTTTCTCTCAATGACAGCAGCCAATACCACAAAACTGCAAATTCCTAGGGCCAGATTATTGCTTAATTTTTCAAAGCTGACATGTTGTGGTGTCACTGAACAAGCTGCTTTTGGCAACATGAAGAGCTCCATCCTCACCCCAGACAGGCACAGGCAGGGACAGGAGCTGGGAGACCCAAATGGTTTTTATCACCTGCTTGGACAGCATTAATCATCTCAAAGGAAGTGTATTTCTACTTCCTATCC